GAGCTGTGCCTTGCTAAGTGAGTTCTGGATTTGTCAGAGGTTTTGAAGGCTGCAGTGGCTTTTAGGAATGGTCTGAAGGAGATGACGAGATGCAGCTCTGTTCTTGGAGAGCAAGTTCCCTTGCTACTGTGGCCCCAGGGTGTATCGGGATGAGTAAGGTTATCAGCCAATGTGCAGATAAGTCACCAAAAAAAAATTTAAAAAAAAACAAAGCTGTTGTCAGTACCTTTCTAGGTGCTGTTAGTAGTTGAAGATACTGTCATGGTGCTGGGGCACAATGTTCAAATAAACTATACCTTTCTTTGCTGCACCATCCCTAGAGTGATCACATTGGTACTTTTTAAAAAAGGCTCCAAAAAGGCGGCACATCTGCTTCACGGGCTGGGTGTGCCTAAGCCTTTCTTAGTTACTAGAATTACATGTTTCAACCCACAACATAGAAACAGACACCAATGAATGGGAGAACAGGGTCTGGAGAGGGGCTCAGGTTTGATCTGGGTGCAGAAGTGGTGTAGTCTGAAACACAAACTAAAGCGTTCCAGCTGCAAGTCAGACCCAGGAATGCATCATGCAAGATCTTATTTTTCTGTAGGGCTGGTAACTTGAGCATTCAAATCATTCACTGCCTTTGAAGCCTGTGAAATCCATAATGGCCACAAAGTAAACATGTAGCAACTACATTTCAATTACCAAGGCTGGACAAGTACCTGGCTTTATTCTCTCCAGTAACAAAACTCCCATCGACTTCAAAGGGGTTGGGATTTACTCCACAGTGCAAGTGCCGGGTCCGGTGAAATCAGAGATGTTACTCCGGGATGAGGTATTTTAGTTTCTGAATGTGCAGACAGATAGGCAGGATCGAGCTCCGATGTTGAGCGGAGCTATACAGGCTGCATTTTCTCTGCGGCCTCAGGTTAACAAAGGGAGGATGATGCCGCGACCAATAATCTGCCCCAGAGCTGCATGAGTACTTTTTGAAAATACACCGATCCCTATCAGCTGCAATAGGAGTTGAGTATGCAACCTGCCTAGCTGCTGTCAGACATCCCACTGCATACCTGCATGTCTCTTCAGCCCTTAAGTCCCATTTTAAATTCTTGCACTGGCCACTGCTTTCAGCAATACCGGAGAGTCTGAGGGAGATGGATACTTCTTTTGCAAAGTAGTTCACAAACTATTTCATTATTCCACTCTGAAAGTGTCAAAGTTCATTTTTCTCAGGCTCATATCCATAAACTTTACTTTGACATGTTCCCTGTGTAGGCGTACAAGATAAATGCCCTCCAACACCTTGCAGCAAACCTTGTGCCCCGTGATGGGCGCTCCCCAGCACCGCAATCTGCTTTGCTTTCCCGCAGCACCCAGGAATGAGGAGACAGAGGCTCAAGCAGTGCCCAGCTCCCTGGTGGCAACCTTCAGTTCCCACTCGCAGGATTTGTGACCATGAATGGGGACTTGATGTTCTGCTGCTCAGCACCCTCCTTAAGCCAGACACTGGCTTTATAG